CCCCACACATACACAAACGAGGAGAGGAAATGATATGGACGTCTGGGACCCCCTCCGGCCAAAGGAAGAGTGGGTTTCGTGCGCCTCTGCAGAAGGATGCTGCTCCCTGCACACGACTCCTTTCCCTGCGTCAGTGCACCCTCTGCAGACTCCGCTCCAAAGCCTGTGCAGCAGTTATAGCAGGAAGTGGTGGAAAGAAAAGCTCTCCTTCCCTCAGCCCCAGGAGTGAGAACGCGCAGAATTCCCCGGCCCTCAGGCTGGGAAACCAGAAAGTCTCTGGACAGGCTGCTGTCATGGGGGGATTTTTTTTTCTTTTAATGAATTAAAGAGTTTTGTGTGTTTTTTAAAAATATATATTTGTATTGATTTTAGAGAGGAAGGAAGAGGAAGAGAGAGAGAGAAACATCAATGATGAGAGAGAGAGCCATTGATCGGCTGCCTCCTGCACAACCCCTACTAGGGATTGAGCCCGCAACCCAGGCACGTGCCCTTGACCAGAATCAAACCCGGGACCCTTCAGTCCACAGGCCAACACTCTACCCACTGAGCCACACCAGCCAGGGCTGGACTCTTGAATAGGGAGGAACCAAACTCCCCTCCTCACAGTGCCCCAGGCAGGGAGGAGCAGAGCTTGGGAACAAGGACGGCGATGCCACCCATTCTCCACCGAGGTGGGCCTGGCCCATGGGGTTATCCTTGGTGACCACAGGGCGCCGACCACAGCACTCCCCCGAACTCCGTCTTGTTTCAGCCCCGGCTGTTTGGGATTTACTGTTATCTGCAGCTCAACCGAATCCAAACGAATTCCCCGCCCCCCGGGTTGCCTATCAGACCCAGAGGAACCTGACCGCTTAGCCGCGTAAAAGCCACCGTTCCCCAAAGCAGAGATCACGGCTCATTTTAAAACCCAAGGCAGGCCACGGCGACTGTCCCAGAAAAGCGCCCGCCTGTGCATATGCTCCACCCACAAGTGTGGGCCTGGAGCCCCAAGCTAAACACCTTGACAGACAGACGCCGTGACCAACGCACGCGCCCCCAAACCCAAGTGGTGTCAGGCCCTGCCCCCATTTGGGCTCCGCAGAGAGCAGAGGCCAGTGGCACTCGCTCTGGTGTGACTCACTGTTGGAGCGCCTGCCTGCCACAGGGACTGGGCAAAGAGCTGGGGCCACGGTGCGCTCTGTGGAGCACACGGCTAACTGGGGAGGGGGCGCTCTGTGGAGCACACGGCTAACAGGGAGGGGGCGGATGAGCAGGTCGTGTGATGGGTTTAATAGTAAAGGTATTAACAAAGTGCTAGGCGAGTGGAAAAGGAAACCAAGGGTTTTGTGGCAGGGAGGCGGCAACAGCTGAGCTTTGCCAATTGATAAAGGAGGGGTAGTGGATACAAGGAACTGTGTCACAGGAATTTAGATTGCCCTTGGCATGTCTGGGGAACACCGGGCATACACACCAGTGCTGCCCGGACAGAGTGGTGGGCAGCAGGAGGGTTTGGAGCTGAGGCTAGAAAGTCAGGCTGTGCGCAGCTGCACGGGGCCTCGAATGCCACTCTCAGGATTGTGACTGGACGCTTCAGGCAACAAGGAGCCAGAAAATGACATGAGCAGATCTGTCTGGCAGTGACAAGGACTGGGGGCCAGGCTCAGGCTTCTGTGGACACCATAGCCCAGCACAGAGCACTTGGAGTCACCAAGGCCAGCAGTTCCCACGACAGAGCCCCTGGGCCTTCTCGGGCCTCTCGGGAACAGGCGCAGCTGCCCTCCTGTTTTTTCAGGTGCACGGTGCTTCCGCCCGCCCGCCCCCCTTCGCTCTGCCTCCCTGCATCTCCCAGGCTTGCTCTAAAACAGCCTTTCATTCCAGAATCACAGAGAAGCCTCAGATGCAGACACTCCCAGGGGATCCGACTTCCTCTAATTCACCCTCATTCAACAGCTGGATCCAACACACATTTCCTGAGACTCTGCCGTGCACAGCCCTGCGAGGGAGACACAGACGGAACGGACCGGATCCTGCCCAGCGGTTCAGCGATGCCCGGGGCGGTGGGAGTGTGCACCGCTGTCCTTCCTGCAAAACAGCTGGGGTGTGTGCACACAGGGCTGTGGGTGTTTGGGGGACTGAGGAGGAAAGGATCACCCCTCTGGGTGGAATGGAAGTGGGTCAGACTCAGAAAGTCTCGAGGGAGGACCCAGAAGATCTGGTTTTCACGTCTCCCTTTCACAGCTGTGTGACCACAAGCAAGTCACTCCACCTCTCTGAACCTCTGTCCTCATGTAGAAAGGGACAAACATACAGTCGTCCTCCCTTATCTGCGGGGATATGTTCCTGGCCCCCCGTGGAGAGTACCAAACCCTATCTATACTCTTTTTTCCTACACCCACACACCTGTGATAAAGCTTCACTTACAAATTAGGCGCAGTAAGAGATTAACAATAATAAAATGGAACAATTATAACAATATTCTGCCATAAAAGTTATGTGAATGTGGTCTCTCTCAAAATATCGTAGGCCTGTACTCACCCTGCTTGTGGTGATGTGAGATGACACAAGGCCTGCGTAATTCGATGAGGGGAGGCGAAGGGTGAAAGGCATTGTGACGTAGCATTAGGCTACTCCTCATCTTTTGTTATTTTTATTTATTTTTTTAATCCTCACCCAAGGATATTTTCCCATTGATTTTAGAGGGAGTGGAAGAGAGAGGGAAAGACAGCGAGAGGCATCGATGTGCGAGAAACACATCAACTGGTTGCCTCCTGCATGCGCCCTGCCCAGGGCCCAGGCCAGGGCGGAGCCTGCAACTAAGGTACGTGCCCTGGACCAAAAGCAAACCCGGGACCCTTTGGTCCTCGGTGGATGCTCTATCCACTGAGCCAAACTGGCTACGGCTACTCATCTGTTTTTAATTAAATTTATTCGGGTGACATTGGCTAATAGGATCATAGGTTTCAGGCTTCGATTTCTATGTTACAAGATCTGTGCACGGCACTGTGCGCCCACCACCCAAGTCGAGTCATCGTCAATCACATTAACACCCCCCCCCCATTCATCTCCTGATGAGACGGCTACTAGGTAACTAAGGGGCGGGAGTGGGCGCAGGTGGATACGCTGGACAAAGGGGTGATTTATGGCTGCTACTCAGAACGGCGTGCAACTTAAAACGTATGGTTTGTTTATTTCTGGAATTTTCCATTTAATATTTTTGGACTACGGTTGACTGTGGGTAACAGAAACCATGAAGAGCAAAACCACGGATAAGGGGGGGACTACTGTACGCTCGCTTCCAATGTTGGGAGGAAGACCCAATAAGACGCTGTAAAGCTCAGCGCCCGGGGACGGGGTTATAATCAGCATGGGAAGCAGCCTGCCTCTGGGAATTCACACTCTCCCGTCCCGCGTGGGGGCTGGACCTCGTGACTTGCTTCCAGCCAGTGGACTACGGCAAGGAGTGACCGGATGGCGCTTCTAAGATGAGGTGACAAAAGGCCTGGCTCCCATCTTACTCGCCCGCCCCTGCTGTCTGCCTTGCCTGCTCTGATGGGAGCCAGCTGCCAGGCTGGGAGCTGGCCTGGGGGAGGTCCACGGGGCAGGAACTGAGCCGGGAGCTGGATTCTGCCGAGAACGTCCTGAAAGCGCTCCGAAGTATATCCCTCCCCCAACAACGGTTGAGATGACCGTCACCTTGGCCTGTGGGAGACCCTGAGCCAGAGGACCCAGCTAAGCTGTGCTTTGCTTCGTGATCCACAGAAACGCTGAGATAACGTGTTTGTTGCTTTAAGCCAGGAAGTGTCAGTGTGACTTGTTATGCAGCTGTAGCTAACAAATACAACCAGGGTGATACTGAGACTACTAAGCACCCAGCTCAGCACCAGCGTTGGTCAGTTAGAGCAGATGCTGACAGCAGCAATGGAGCAGGGTCCTGCAGGTCCCCGCTGAGCCGCCAGCTAGAGCACGGGTTCAGGAAGGGGGTCTGGGAAGGGGCAGGGGAAGTGGTGGGGACCCATCTTATGGGAATACTCACATAGGGACGTAAAAGTACCTACTTGCAAGAATATTCACTGCAGCATTATTTTTTATTTTTTTGTTAATCCTCAGCCAAGGATATTTTCCCATTGATTTTTAAGAGAGTGGAAGGGAGAGTGAGAGACAGAGAGAGAGAGAGAGACAGAGAGAGAGAGAGAGAGACAGAGAGAGAGAGACATCGATGTGAGAGAAACACATCGATTGGTTGCCTCCAGCCTGCAACCGAGGTACATGCCCTTGACTAGAATTGAGCCTGAGACCCTTCAGTCCACAGGCCAACGCTCTATCCACTGAGCCAAACTAGGGCCACTGCAGCATTATTTGTTGCAGCAAAAGATTAAACAACTGAAAAGTTTGCACACAGGGAACTGGTTAAGTTAAGGACATGCCGTGGGTATCGCGCAGCCATTGAACAGGAATGTGCTGATGTGGAACGGGGGGCAGGATGTACTTTGTTCAGGAGAACATGGCATCATAGACCATCATTTGTGTTAAATGTATGTACACACTTATCTGAGGGCTCGTCGCTCTAGAAATAACCTGGTAGCCCTGGTTGCCTCAGAAAGGGAAACTGGGGCCGGGGGTAAGGGATGGGAGAGAACCCCGATTTTTCTGTCCCCTGAGCCCCCTGTGATATCCCTCCCATCACCTGGGGCGGGGGGAGGCAATGATGGCTGTGTTCTGGGGAGACTCGTAACCCTAACTTGTGTTTGGAGCTTCTCTAAATTAGGGGGGGTGCTGAGTGGCAGGGCCCCGGCTCATCTGCCTCCCATAACCAGGGCAGTGCCTCCTGCCGAGCTCTTATTGGGAAAATGGTTTCTCTGCTTTAATGAAGAAGCCTTGGGACCTCGCGACGCCCCCTTTCTTCCCTCAGTTCCCACTCAACTCTCCACCCATCCACCTGCTCCCCCCCCCACCCCCAGCCTGGGTCCGTGTGAGCTGAGTCCAACCCAGTGGAGGTCTCTGCTGGCTCCCTGGGGACTCACCTGGAACGTCCGGGGACGTATTGAGCGTCATGAAGGCGTCTGATAAGCCGGCTTTGACAGGGTGCTGGGAGGAGCTGATTTCCAGGACAGACATGGGGATCTGCAGCAGGGAGAAGAGGCGCCATCTATCCCCAAACCCTCTGGGGCCAGCCTAGCTTCCCCTCGGAGCGCCAGCCCCACCTGCCTGCTTGGCACCGCCTCCTGGAGGATGTGGAGACCTCTCACACCCAAGCCCCCCCACCCCCCATTCAAATGTCAAGTCTTCCCCACACCACCCCCAGCACATGTCCTTGCTCTACACTCCATCTTCGTGAATGGCATCTCCACGCAGGCCTGGGAGTCACCCCTGCCCTTCCCTTTTCTTCACCCCCCCCCCTTCCATCTAATACATCTCCAAATCCTGTTAATTAACCAGCTAACCGGCTCTCAGATCTGTCTAGTTCTCTCAACCGTCCCCCACCAGACTCCAAGTTGGCAACATCCCTTTCCTAACTCATCCCCCAGCATTCCCTCTAAGCCCCCAACAATCTGTTCCCGCTCAGAAGCCAGAGTGACCTTTGTGGAGGGCAAATCGGGTGTGCCCTTGCCCTGTCTTGCCCCTCACTCTCTCCCCTCCGGCCATGCTGCCTTCTTTCAGGGCGGTGTGCCAGCCAGGATCCATCCTGTCACAGGACCTTTGCACATGCGTTTCTTCCTCCTGGAACACACTTCACTCTCCTCTTCGCTTCCTTAACTCCTATGCATCCTGCAGATTTTAACTCTTTTCCTGAGGGAGCCTCTCCCGGCCCCCACTGAGAGAAAGAGCCCCAAGACAGGCTCCCCTGGCACCAGGCGCCTCTACTTAGGAGCACTTGTTACCGTGGCAACTCTGCATGTGTCTCTGCAATTGCTGTCCATTGTCTCAACAAGACTTACCCTCTACAAGGGCAGGGGTCACAACCATCTTACGAACTGCGTATCCCCAGCACCACGCCCTCTGCCAGGCAGAGTTCAGATTCCCTACAAGTGCTTGCTGAATGGGGAAAAAGCTCCCCGAGACCCAGGCATCTCTCACTCACCTCTTTGTAGCCAAACACAATGCGGCCGTCACGGTGCAGAGCCGCCTGGAAGGTGAAGCTGCCCCTGTCCTCCCGGCCTTGGAGGTAGACATGGTCCCACTGAACAACAAAGACTGTCCCTGTGGAGAGCAGCAGAGACCTGGCTGTCGGGGCGGTGGTGCAGGGGGAGGGCACTGCAGGAACAGTGGCCTGCGTGGATTGCCAGGGGTCGGGCCCCGTAGGGACGATGGGGGCAGTTTGCAAATTTGACCGAAGGCAGGAGCTGGGCAACCCACCAACATCAGCCTGGCTCCCACGCTGGGGAGGAACCAGAACACCCTATTTCAGCCCCAGGTACCATGCCTGAGCATCTCTCACCCCAGGCACGCCCCCTCCTGCCTGCCTGCCTATCCTGACCCTTGAGATGAAAAGGAGGAGCAATAGAAGGAATGCCTGTTCTGGGATGGGAGGGTGGGTGTTTGGGGGACAACGTGGCGAGAATAAGAAACAATAAGGGTCCCTAGTATTTGTTTCACCTCTACGAAGAGCCAAGCATGTTCATCTCGTTATCGCCTCAGATCCTGCTAGGAGCCGGCATCCTGTCGCCAGCTTACAGACGAGGAAACAGTACAGAAAGGTGGGGTGGCTGCCTTGCTGTGTGACTGTGCCAAGTCCCTTGCCCTCTCTGGGCCTTGCACGCCTCTAACGGGGCTGGGCCTGGGGAGCCCTGGTGCGAGGGGACTTAAACTCTGCCATCTGGCCTCACCATTGTCAAAGTAAGCAACTGTGGAGTTGTCGGAGTAGCCAGGGTTGAAGTTGGCCATCAGCGGGGCCACGTACTGAGTCGCCGTGAGCATCCGATGGGTCACGTCACCAGTGAAGATGAAGCCTGGAGGGGAGAAGCGTGGAGGAACCACCGGCGATGCCGTCCCCCAAGGGCAGGAAGGAGCAGTGCAGGCAGGCAAGGCTTGAACCTCTGTCCCCTCGGCCCAATGGGTGGGCTCAGGGTCAGGTGTGTATGAAGCAAAAGGGTCCCAGACCAGAGAAGGTCCTCCCTGCCCCTCAGGTGGCACAAATTCTCCCTTTCCCTTTCCCTTTCCCTGGGAACACGCACAGGAATCAAAGATGGGCTCCTGCTCAGTGACGTCTCCCTTCCCCTCCCAATCAGACTCAGAAACACAGAGACCATGGGGACTGCTCACACCTGCTTGAGCTGGCCCAGAGGGACACACACACACACACACACGAACAAGTCCGCTGATGAGACAGAGGTATTCGGACACAATTCCTGACCTCCCTCCTAGAGTGGGCTCCCGAGACAGCCAAAGGTGGGTCCCTGTCCATTCCATCTCCAATGACCCTCCCCAGGTAGGGCCCCCAAGTTCCGGCTGAGAGCTCCAGATCCTCCCCCAGCCCTCCTGGCACAGCCTTACCTCCGGTTGCTATGGTGATCTGCCGCAGAGGATGCCCGTAGAAAGGGAAATCAAAGGACAAGACCACTCTCTGTGGGGGATGGGAGAGAGTCAGCAGGGGCCAGGCTACAGGCCAGGGGGCTGGGCACCTACACCACTCCATGCTTGTCTGGACAGGGCCGGGGGCAGGCTGCCAGACCACAGGTGGGCACCCCAACCCAGGCCAAGCCACCCAGAAACCCCCAGAAGGCACCTCCCAGGTCACAGACCCTAGGCCAATGATGGCGAACCTATGACACGCGGGTCAGAGGTGACATGCGAACTCATTTTTTTGGTTGATTTTTCTTTGTTAAATGGCATTTAAATATATAAAATAAATACCAAAAATATACGTCTTTGTTTTACTATGGTTGCAAATATTAAAAAATGTCTATATATGACACGGCACCAGAGTTAAGTTAGGGTTTTTCAAAATGCTGACACGCTGAGCTCAAAGGGTTCGCCATCACTGCCCTAGGCCGTGCCCATTGACCAGGCGGTGCGGGTTGGTCCCCCGCCTCCCGGCCCAGGGCAGCGCTGCCAGGAGCTGGGCACTCACCGAAGCCTGCCGGTGGGTGTTGGAGAGGATTCTGTGGACCTTCACGTGGCTCCGGTTGGCCTTGGCCACATCCACCCACAGCTCCCGGCTGCGAGGCTCGCTGGGGCCGTACAGACGAGACACGTAGTAGCTGTGGTTGTCCTCCTGTCACCACCCAAGACAGAGCCCGCCGGAGGCTTGAGGGGGCAGGCCTGCCAGGACCCACCCTCTGTGCCCCCCCGCCCCCCGGCCCAGATCACTGGATACAAGAAATCCTGGTCCTCCCAGGAAGCTGGACCGGTGGCCCAGGTGGCTGGCGTAGGCCTGGTAGCCCCTGGGCCCCCAAAAGCTTAGTACTTGGCCTCCAGCTGTGCCCATGCAGCTCCGGCCCCAGCCTGATCCACACCTGCTGTCCTCAGCTCCGCCTGCCACTCCCGGAGAGGCCCGTAGGCTTCTCCTGCAGCCAGAGTCCCCGTAAAGCAGAGCTCGGCTTGAGGCACCAAAGAGAAACAGACAGAGCAGCCCCAAACAGAGCCCTCGTCTTCAGGGAGCTCTCAGACTGCGGGGGAGAGCTCCCCTGCTCTGGGAAGTAGCATATATATAATTGACTTTAGAGAGGAAGGGAGGTGGAGAGAGAGATAGAAACATCGATGATGAGAGAATCTTTGATCGGCTGCCTCCTGCACGCACCACACTGGGAATCGAGCCTGCAACCTGGGCACGTGCCCTGACCGGGAATCGAACCATGGCCTCCTGGTTCCTAGAAGCCACGCCAGCTGGGCTGGGGAGTAGCCTTTTTAAGGGAGAAGAAAACACTGCATCTTAGAAGCGCCAGTCTAAAGATGGAGGCAGGCCCTTGATCTTGGGGAATTGCTAGACTGAGGGAGGAGGTGGGACTTTTGCAAACAGAACACACAGACCCTCAAGCCGAGGGATGACACAGGGCCCACGCTGCAGTCACTACAGGGCTGAGAAAGGGGGAGAAGCAGGAAGAACCTCTAACCTCCACTCTGTGCCCAGTGCGGACAGACTAAAGAACGAGCCAGAACACAGCCGCCGGGCGTGACTTCGGCAAGGCCTGTCCTGCATAGGAGTGTTCAGCGCCAGGATCGCAGAGGCCGGGAAATGGTGGGCAGAGAGGGTGGAAGAGCCAGAAGAGGGGGCGATGTCACAGCATTTCAGCAGGCGGGGGTGGGGGCGGGCAGCCTTAGGAGAAACGGAGGCAGAGCGGGCAGGTTCACTTGGCAGCTGCCACGGAGATGGGGCTGCTGACCCGTGAGGAGCCCCGGGCGTCGTGGGCCATCAATCAGGCTGCCCAGCGGCAGCGGCTGCAGACACAGCAGAGCAGGCCACGTTCGCTCTGCCAGCTGCCAGCTGCCCAGCCGGCCCTCGCCCTGGGCCCAGCATGAGCAGGGACGGGATGCCTGCTCTCCCCACCCCCCAGCAGGGAGGATCTGCTCTTCTGACAAGTGACACTCTGGGAATCTGGGTCGGGCAGAGCTGGGGAAGATGAGCAGAAGACACGTGTGGACGGGGGTGGGGGTGGGGTGGGAGGTAGATTTCACACTACCATTGCCTGGTTTCATGTCCATCAAATAAATCTAAAATATTTAAAACCACATCGCTCTGCTCACAACCACTGGGGCTCCCACTGCCCTCGTGACAGAACCCAAACCTCAGCCTGGCAGGCAACGCCTCATCAGTAGCCAGCTCTGCATTCTCCCTGGCTTCCCTTCTCTCTCCTTCTCTCCTTCCCCTGGGCATCCTTGTGCCCCCACCCACCAGACCAGGTCCTCTGCAGTCTCGGGCCACCAGTGGTCACTCAGGCCTTTGCACATGCTGATCCTCCTGCCTGAAATGACTTTCCTTGCCTTCTCCCCCTGGTCAATTCCTGTTTCTTTAATGCTCAGCTTAAACTTCACCTTTTTTAAAATGTTTTTATTGATTTTGAGAGAGAGGGGAAGGGGATAGAGAGAAACATCAATGAGAAGCATCATCTATCAGCTGCCTTCTGCACGCCCCCTACGGGGATCGAGCCCCAAACCCGGGCATGTGCCATGACCAGGAATTGAACCAGCAACCTCTTATTTTTGTTTTAAATATATATAGATTTCAGAGAGGAAGGGAAAGAGAGAACATCAATGGTGACAGAGAATCATTGATCGGCTGCCTCCTGTATGCCCCTCACTGGGGATCAAGCCCGCAACCTGGGCATGTGTTCTGACCGGGAGTTGAACCGTTGACCTAGTTCCTAGGTCAATGCTCAACCACTGAGCCATGCCAGCTGGGCCCTTCTGCCCTTTTATAAGAGAAGGGATCGGTGCCTGGCATTGGGTTGAAATGTTGGAAATAAACCGTCTCCCTAATTCCTGGGCACCTTTGCATGGCTGTGGACGAGGGGGAAATGGATGGCCCAGCAGAGCAAAGCCGCGTCTAGGGGCCACTCCTGTGTGCTCTCCTCGGACACACTGTGTCTCACAAAGACAGATGGATGTTCCAGCCCCAACCCCGTACCTGCGACTGTGACCTTATTTGGAAATAGAGTCTTAGCAGGCCCCAATTCCAATGATGGATGTCTTTATAAGAGGAGGGAGAGGGAGACTTGTTTACAGAGCCACAGAGGCCACACAGGGAAGAAGGCCATGTGACAACAGAGACAGAAATCGGGGTGAGGCAGCTTATGAGCCAAGGAACACCCAGGGGTGCCAGGAGCCACCAGAAGCTACGAGATGCGAGGAAGGACTCTTCCCTGAGCCCTGAGAGGGACCATGGCCTGGCTGACAGCTTGATTCAGACTCCTGGCCTCCAAGGCTGTGAGAATACATTGCTGCTCTTGTCAGCCACCCAGTATGTGGTCATTTGGAAACAAAGGCATTTGCCCATGGTGTGTGGCTGTGGCTCAAGCGGGGTGACCCCAAGTCATCTCCCCGTTCCGTGTCACTGCCTGTGGCTGCCCAGCTGCTCTCTGATTGAAGGCCACACTCCGCACCACGACTCACTAGGCCTGGCGGGGCAGGCCCGGATGTTGCCTACCCACTCTCCACTCCCCCTCCACTTCTTCACGAGCAGAACATGGATTCTGGAGCAGCAGCAACGGAGCCAGCTAGAAACCTCATCCCCTGGATGGGTTACGTGGGACACATGTGACATGGGACAGGGGCTGGCCAATGAGATAAACGGAAGGTTCTAGTGGCGCCTTTTGAAAGGAGTCAAATTCGACTGCTTGGGCCTCTTGCCTTTTCCCTTCTTATCCCTGCCTGGAATGGAGGTGTGATGGATGGAGCTCCAGCAGCCATGCTGTGAGCATGAGGACAAGAGCCACAGCCTAAGGATGGCGGCGGGAAGAGCTGGTTGGAACCTGGGCCCCCCATGACATGTTGGAGGGATGCTCATTAGGTCCTTGGATTCAGCCTGCAGTTACACACACACCACCTCCCTTCCCCTGCTCTCTGCAGCCCAGCTTGGCTTCTCTCGGTTTCTGAACTCGCCCGGTGCTTGTCTGTCTCAGGACCCTGGGGCTTCCTGTGCCTCTTCCATTCAGAAGCCGCCTCCCCTTCCCGTGCCTCGGGCCTCAGCTTCGCGGTCCTTGCCTCCCTGAAACCCCGGTTACACTTTTAGACTTATCTCCACACCTGCCTTTCCTACAAGTTGCCCACAGGTGAGGTCAGCCTTTATCTCTGGAGCTGAGTTGGAGGATCTTTTAATGAATGAGTGACCATTCCGAGTTTCATGGTATAGTGCGTCCAAGGCCTGCCCACCCTGTCTGATTGCTGCCGCCACGTGTTCTGGTGGCTGGACGGCGTGGCATCACCCGACAAGGCAGGACAGCAGCGAGCAGGGCCAGGTGCTGGCGGTAGTGGAGGGGCCCATTGCATACAGCTGCCCACGGGGAACCGGAGCAGGCCTGTGCCGGACGCGCTGGCTGCAGGCTGGGCGAAGGGCCCGTTTCCCTCCCCTGCTTCCCGGGACTCCCCCGGGGAGAGCGTGCACCGAACCGCACGCGGTGGAGTGAGGCCCCGGACAGAAGCCACGCTCTGCCGCTGTGAAGCCCAAACACGCTGACCTGGGTCTCGCTGCCTCGCTAAGAGGCAGGCGGTGGGGTGACTGGGGACGCGGCTCACCAGCCCGTTGCTCCGACTCCTCTATTTCCCACGAAGGAAAACGGCCCACCCCCCAGCTGGTCCTGCTCCGCTGAGGAGCCGGGCTGGTGCTGCCGGGATCCTCGGACAGAATCACCTCACTCTTACAGATCCCAAGGACACACAGAGGCGTCTTCACTGACAAAAGGTCTTTGTCTACGACTCAGGGAGAGTCAGAAACTAAAGAAGCTGCTGCCTCTACCTCCTAAACCGGCGGTTCTCAACCTGTGGGTCGAGACCCCTTTGGGGTTCGAACGACCCTTTCACAGGGGTCGCCTAAGACCATCGGAAAACACATATATAATTACAGATTGTTTTTGTGATTCATCACTGTGCTTTAATTATGTTCAATTTGTAACAATGGAATTGGGGGTCACCACAAAATGAGGAACTGTATTAAAGGGTCGTGGCGTTAGGAAGGTTGAGAACCACTGTCCTAAACAGTTTCTCTCCCGTGAGCCAGCAGGTCCCCGCACAGACGGACCACGCGCAGGCCGGGTGGCTGAGGCCCAGGCGCTGCTTCAGGCCTCGGAAGTGCCAAGTGCAGCGGGCCTACCCGAGGAAGAGCTGCCTCCGGGCGCAGCAGCTCACCGAACCTGCCCGAGTCCCACACAGGCCCCAGCACCCCCTCCCTCCCCCCCGCTCCTGGCAGGTGACTGAGGGTCCCCAGGCCACTGAGCCAGAAGCTGTATCTATCTAGATTCTAGAGCCCTGGCCCGGGGATGCTCCATGGTGATGGGGGAGGCCAAACTGCGGCCCAGAGAGGAAGGGACAGCTTGGAGCGGGGGCCACTCCTGGGCAGAGCCAAGAACAAAGTCCGAAGGGTTCGGGGGGAGGGAGCTGGGAGAACTGGAGGAGAGAGAAAGGCCGCCGGCGTTGGCAGAGCTGTGACACTGGCATTTCAGATGCATCACCGCATGACAACCCTGGCTGGTGAGTACCGACATGAGTCCCGTTTCGTAAGCGGGGAAACTGAGGCCTACGTATCTGCATCCGGGTCAGCCTCAAAGACGGTGCCTTTCCCTG